CATCCATCCATCCATCCATCCATCCATCCATCCATCCATCCATCCATCCTATCATTATCTCATCTATTTAGTTTTCTCATCTTTCTTGCTATATATCATCTCTATATTTCTTTGTCTGTCTTTCTGGGTGTCTCTCTGTCTGTCTGTCTATCATCTATCTATCCTATCAGTCTCATCTATTTAGCTTTCTCATCTTTCTTGCTATATATCATCTCTATATTTCTATATTTCTTTGTCTGTCTGTCTGTCTGTTCTAGCTAGTTAGCTATCTACTTATATATCCTATCTTTATTATCTCTCTCCCTTTTCCTCTTTTAATATTTCTATTTCTGCTACCTAATGCTCATCTATATCCATCACATTTTCAGGCTTTAATGCCTTTGTGAAAATTCAGAAGTTCTTCATGGAGAAAAGGAAAAAAAAATCCTCTCTACAAATAATTTTCGCAGTTCATCAACTATTAATTCTACAAGGTTTAAAAAATTTAGCCTAATCATCACATTTAATTCAGGAAGGGACCTAGATAAAACTTAGCTGGGAATCTAGGACAGGACTGATAAACTAATCACACACAATTCCTGCCAGCATCTTTGTTGCACTTTATTCACAAGAAACAAACAAAAGCAAAATAATAAATACTGAAATTGAGTTGCAGATGATTCGTGCTTCGTAGCCGTATTTTTCTTTTCCAAGAATAAAGATTTTTTTACCTGATAAGAGAATATATATAGATACATATAATGACATTTAGCACCTAGAAAATTTGGAAGAGAATATTGTTTTGCTTATTCACTCAGGTATCAACTTTGATTATGGGACGGGAAGTTTCAGAAGTTAAGTGAGGTTAGTCCTAGGAAGTTGTGAGACTTCTAAAACATCCCAGGGGTGCAGAGTGCAGACTGAGACTGGGAAGTTGAAAAGAAATCTGAAACAGGTTAATTATCAACTCCTCCATAACGTAGCCAAGGAAACTGCCCAGGTACATCCTACGGGTCACATCAGAGCTCAACTGAAAGGAGATTTTACCCTTTGGACACAAATCTGAATCTTAACTTCTAGCACACATACTCTAAGCCACTGATGGCGAACCTTTTCGGTACTGAATGCCAAAAAATGGAGTGCATGCGTGCATGTGCTCATCTGACCCGCAACCCAGAAGAGGAGCTGCCCAGAGGGCATGTGCACACCCAAAAATGAACTTCCAGTTTCCGGCACATGCATGGGTGCCTGGCAACTAGTCTTCTAGTTACTGGCATGCATGCATGCACAACAATCAGCTGGCAGATGCACATGCTCACACCAAGAAACGGAAGACCGGCTCTTCCAGTTTCCAGCACTGCCACACGCATGAAGGCCAGCTGACCGTCACATGCGTGCCAGAAACCCGGAAGAGGAATGGGCAAAGCTGCAGGTGCCAGTCGACCTGGTTCCACGTGCCACTTTGGGCACACGTGTCATAGGTTCACCATCCTAGCCCTAAGCAATGGATAGAATCGACAGACAGGCTTGCCTGGAGGTGGTTAGTCCTTGCCAAACCAAGTGGCTGCAAAACCTAATCTAAAATGGGATTACGGCTGCCTGTGGATGGTGGTTGCATGCCTACAGCCCTGTTTCCATTTACCTGAAGGAAATTTATCTTGGCTTGGCCCAGATTGCCAAATGAAGGCCAATTAGACCAAATAATGATATACGTATATTTTTAAATAGCCATAAAAACACCCCCCACCCCCACCCAGAAAGCTTACTAGAACAGGACAGATTTGAGCCCAGCCTGAAAAGCTAGCTTTCTATCCTGGTTTGCACAGTGATGCTTCCTCAGATTTGTTACAAATCTAGCAGCTGTGTTTAGGGACCATGCTTCATTGCTCTGGTTTCCATTTGATTTTTCTCCTTTGGAAGTTTAGTGTACAGTTCAAGTCCAGCTTGTGGACTTTCCACCAATTGTTCCAATCCATAAAATGGGTGTTTTCAGTAACCAAGTTGAAAGCATCAAGGGAAGTTCCTCTTCTTTCAAATGCATGCAGCTAAGCAACCCATTAGACCAGCTTCTAATTGTAGCCTGAAGGCTAATGATTTGTCCCGGTCCCATTCCCTCCCACCCACCTCCCCACCAGGACAACTAGGCCGAGATTCCCCTAATCTCTGCTTTGATCAGGTATTAGGAGAGGAAGCTCCACTTTCTCCCTTCATCCTCACATAAAAGAGTTTTCCGGCTGCATGGAAGGACTGCTGGCACAGGCACTTCTTCCAAAGCTCCCCGCCTCACTCATGCATGAACACGCGCCATTTAATGCGCTTTTTTCCGCTTCTTTCACACCAATGGCAGCCGCCCGGTGTTTACACTGGCTCTCGCAGAGCTTGCAGAATGGGACACAAAACCAACCTGCCTGGCTGGCTGAAGGCCTCCCCTTTTCAACAGCCTTAAGTTCTCAACAAAGGGGCGCTAAGCCAAGGGAGGCTTAGCCGCGAGAGACTCTCACGCCAGCACGGAAGGTGCAGAGACAGGCATCAAAAGCCAAAAGGGGAAAAAAGAAAAAGAAAGAAAAAGAGGAAAGGCAGCGGGGTAACCTGAGAGTGGCTTTGGGCAGGAGGTAAAAGTTTTCACTAGGGGTCAGAGCCATCGGAATGGTGCACCAAGTCATCGGACTCAGCAAAAGTTGGTGTCTGGCTATGCGGCAGGGAAATGGGGGAAAAAACCCCAAAATCCATGGGAACTGAAACCAGGCAGAGGAGATAGGAGGAGTAGAATTTCCTCCTATTTTTCCAGTTTAGATGGACCTATAACAGATGGCCTGGGGGTTGATTTCAGTTTGGGCTTGGAAAGTCAAGTGAAGGACTTTGGCAAAGCACTCAGCTGCTAGAGCTGGGAAGGAATTGCATTGTCTTTGGAGCAGCCATACCTCATGGTGGGCTGAACAAGGAAGCTCAAGAAACACAGGAAGAAACTCCTTCCATTGTTGTGGACACACAAGGCAGCTTGACCTCATCCTGGGGCTCTCTGGAGATTTGTGCCTTGATGTCCATAGATGGCTATGTTGGAAATTATGGGGCTCGGAAATCCAACCTAGCTGAGAAGGACTGTTGGAGGAAGGCTGATGCTGTCTAAAGGGTATCAGAGATACTTACTTCGCTATGATTGCTGCCTTGAGTAGGGGTTAAATTAGGAGACCTCTAAGGTCTCTTCTCAGCCCTGTGATTCCACGTTCTAAGATAGGATGGGCAAGAAAGAATTTGTTTCATGTTGACAGAGAGTCAAAGCTAAGCCAGCCTCCCTCAATCTGGCCTCTCTCCCAATGGGTTGATTTCAACCTATATAGCCATTCTTGGAAATCTTAGGACATGTTTAAGACACATAAAATGAGGCAAGGTTTCTTTCATCTAGTTCATCTGCCATTTTGGAATTGGTGGCCATAGCTACAGACATGCCTGCTAGGACTAAAAATCCACTCATCCATAGATGTACTACCTGAGATGCTTGAAAATTTGGCCCAAGAGGACGACAACTCTTTATTTTACCATGGTTGCCTCTGGGGAAGGTCAACCCGAGACGTCATCATTTTCAAGAAGGTTCTGTAAGGTAGATCACAGAAAGGACTACAAAAAAAATATGTTGGTTGGTCTCCCAGTCAGCAGGCTTCTTCAGATTATCTGCAACTTTCCATACTTGGTAGGGAATCCTGGCAAGGTTTGCTTCTGATATCTCCAGGTTCCTTTGATTGTGGGTATGTGAACTATACATAACAAAATGTCATACTGGATATCTTCTCTTGGTCCTTTTCAAGAAACTGTAGCATTTTGGTAGCCGTTTCAGAAGTTCTCAGGTTTCTTTCCCCCACCATCTGAGGAAGGATCCTCCAAAGCCTTTTTTGTTCCCAAATCCACATGATAGTTCTAGGCTTCAGCCAGAACAGAGACAAAGGCTGCTGTCTTTGGAGGCCAAACCCACAGTAGTCATGTCCTGTGACTGTCCTAGATGCCAGATGCTTTGAGGAGAAGAAAACATAGGGCCAACAGAAGGAAAGAAATTCTTCCTGTTATCACAATGCAAGGCTGAAGGGTCCAATCTGCTCATTTCTTGTGGTGCATATCTTCCATTCCAACACGGCCCCAGACGCCCACCACAAAGGATTCAATCTCGCACTCATTGGTCCCCCTGGCTATGCGGAAGTAGCCGTGTTCACCCCATGCCTTGCCCCAGGAGTTGGCTGCAATCTGAAGACAGAGATAGAATAGGCTGTGAAAGGGTTTCCAACAGAAGAGCACTGACATTTGTCCAACACTGGAGTTTTACATGTGTATACTTTTAAAGATGCTTACAACAACCCTCAAGCATAGGTCAATAGGGAACTATCTATCAATAGTGAGAGCCAGTTGGATAACTAATAATCTCTCTCCACACGTCATCCTTAGTGAAGTCTGCAAACCAACGTCTGCATTTCCTGTGTCGGATGAGGAGAGCACATCTTTCTCCTTCTGTCCTGGTCACTTTCTACAGGGGCACAATTGAGAGCATTTTAACAAACTGCATCCCTGTTTGGTTTTGTGGTTGCAGTGCCTCAGAGAGAAAGTCCATTCAGAGAGTGGTAAGGACAGTGGAGAAGATTATAGGAAGCTCGTTTCCTGTTACTCAGGATACTGCTTATAAGCGCTATGTGCTTAGAGCTCAAAGCATTGTTAGAGACCCCACATACCCACTTCATGGTCTGTTTCTGTTGCTCTCCTCTGGGAGGAGGTTTCAAAGTATTTCACAATATTTGTTTTCTCTTGCCATGTACATGCATACATCTGGACTAGACTGTGTTGTTTCTCTGTGTCATATAAGATATGTGGGTATATACATATTGATTGATTGAGTCATGTTTATGTGATGTATATTGGAGGTGGTGACCCTTTGAGAGCTGCCTGCAAGGAAATTTCATTTTAATGTATGCCGATTAGTGTACATTCAAAGTGACAATAAAGTTATTTTAAGTCTAGTGGTTAAGGAAGCCGGATAGAAAGCAGAGGTCTGTGAATTCTAGGCCCACCTTAGCTATGGAGTTCAGTTGGGTGTCTTTGGGCCAGTCCCCCCCCCCCACTCTCTTAGCTCACCTCACCTCACAGGGTTGTTGTGTTGAAAATCAGAAGAGAAAGATGTGTTGGATAGGAGTGCCGTCTTGAGTTATTTGTAAAAATAATAAAGTCAGGATATAAATAAAATAAATAAATAAATTAGTGTAGCCCTGTGTCTATGAACATGAATCTGGGCCACTCCAGGAGACAGGGAAGGACAGGGGAGCCTGACATGCTATGGTCCATGGGATCACACAGAGTTAGACATGCCCTATTGACTGAACAGAAACAAGAATTAGGTCGAAGGCGCTGGATGACACCTCAACTGGGGGGGGGGGTCTTGAGTAAAGGAGGAGAAAGGAAGAAATGAATAATAGCATCAATGTGATCACATCATCATGCCATTACCTTGATTTGTAGACCCTGGGACCAATGGTGACATTTCATGATGATGTCACTACACATCTGAATTGTTTGACAATACTGTAATTTGTTACAGGAATTGTTTTGTGGGAGCTTCCTTATAGAGATTTATATCCTATATGATATATTATAGATAGTCTTTGATTTACAACTGCAATGGAGCGGCCCATCATGTTTGCAAGCTGTGATTGGGTCTGGTGACTGACCCAATTTTATGACCTTTTTTGCAGCAGTCATTAAGTAAACACTGTGGTCATTAAGCAAACCATGAGCTTGCTATGGGCTGGTTTTTGGCACAACTGTGGTAAAATGTGGTCACATGACCACGGGATACTACGAGCAGCTGTAAATGCAGGAGGGTTGCTGAGCATCCAAAATGTGTTCATGTGGTTGTCTGTGGGGGGCAGGCCCAGATGTTGGAAGTTCAGAACTGGATCATAAATAGCCAAAAGGAGGCCCATAGTATCCTTGAACAGTCACTAAGTTGAGAATAAGGATATGTTCTGGTCACTAAAGGAATCCAGGTAGGACAATAGGCTAGAATTTTTCAGAAGTGTAGTAATTTCCAGGTGTATGACCCTCAACTCCAGAATTCTTTGCATTGTCTGTGCTGGCTGAGGATTCTGGGAGTTGAAGTCCACGTGGCTTAAAGTTACCAAGATTGAGAAATACTGATCTAGAGGGAAACCTCTGGCTGACCTGGTTAAGTGAACTGTGTTGAATCATGATATTGTGAACTTATTGACAGAAGGAATACATTTACTACTGTTCTTGGTGGTGGCACTCACCCAATATTTCCATTTTGACCCATCCGGCTTCTGTTCTTCTCCCCATCTATGGTTTAAAAAAAAGAGTTTGTTAAACATCTAACACATCTGTAGAGTTTCAAGATGAAGAAGACCAGAGGTGGGTTCCGACCGGTGTGGTACAGTTCAGCCGAATAGGTAGTAACTGTACTGGTTCTATCCTCGGCAGCGCCCTCTTGATTTTCTGTTCTGCACATGCACATAACAATCCTCACTGAAAAAATGTATTCTCCCCCCCTCTTTTTTTCAATGTTGTGTGCATGTGCAGACTGTTTTAAGTGCAAATGCGCATGTGCACGGAACACACTTTTTCAGGCACCGAACTGGTAGTAATGGCAGCAGGAACCCACCCCTGGAAAAGACAACCATGGGAAAAGAAGAAGTAGGGAATCTATTCTTCTCAAGATGGATATTAGGATATTGTACATGAAAATATGGAAAAGAAACTAGAATGAACACGGAATAGAAAAATTAAAAAGAAATGCAGACACAATGGACAAGACTGACAATGTGCCATCACCACAGCTTCAAATTTTACCAGCTACATGGGTTTCTTCATGACAATCTGTCCCAGAGGTGGTATTCAGCAGGTTCTGACCAGTTCTGGAGAACCGGTAGTGGAAATTTTGAGTACTTCGGGGAAATGACACTGGCAAATACAACCTTTGGCTGCCCCCCCCCGCAATATATTCTCTGCCTCCTGAATCCCAGTTGATTAGGAGGAAATGGGGATTTTACAGTAACCTTCCCCTTCCATGCCCACCAAGCCACAGAACCGATAGTAAAAAAAAAATTGAATCCCATCACTGATCTGTCCCTAATTTTGTCCTTCAGATCTTCCAGCACGGTACCCATCACCCCTATAATAAAGTCCATACAACTTGCTGCCAATTATCAATTTTCTCCTTTTTCTTTCTACCTTTCCCAGAATGACTGACTTCTCCAGAGAGCTGGAACTTTTCCCATCATGTGTTCAAAGAAGGAAAATTTGAGCCTGGGCACTTGAGCCTCAAGTAATAATTCTGGAATAATTTATGATCATAGGCCCGACCATTTTACTGTGTCCCCTTAAAATATAGTCATTTTCAGCAATTCGGCTACATATAAATTCTACTAATAAACACACATGTAAAGGTAAAAGTTCCCCTTGTACACATGTGCTAGTTGTTCCCAACTCTAGGCGGGGCGATGCTCATCTCCGTTTCAAAGCCGAAGAGCCAGCACTGTCTGAAAACGTATCTATAGTCATGTGGCCGACATGACTAAATGCCGAAGGTTCACAGAATGCTGTTACCTTCCCCCCAAAGGTTGTTCCTACTTTTCTGCTTGCATTTTTACATGCTTTCGAACTGCTAGGTTGGCAGAAGCTGGGACAAGTAATGGTAGCTCACTCCATTACATGGCACTAGGGATTCGAACTGCTGAACTGCCGACCTTTCTGATTGACAAGCTCAGCGTCTTAGCCACTGTTAAAACACAGGTAGTCTTTAGCTTAAGATGGATGGTTAAGAATAGGAAAAATAAATACATAAATAAAATGATTGGTCACTTAGCAACCATTCAAAGTTCTGACAGATCTACTTGGGGGGTACTTACAACTCCGATTTGAAGTTGCAATAGTCATCCCCCCCCCCCAGTGATGTGATCGCATTTTGGGTGCCTAGTAACTAGACTGCATTGATGGCTCTTTTGCTGAAAAACAACATTTACTTCCAGTTTTCAGCCAAACTGTGCCCAAAGCAAACTTTCACTTAATGAGTGAAATGATGAATAATTCTAATGAGTAATTTACTTAACAACAATGTGATTAAAAACACAGTGATTCACTTCATGACCATCTCAAAAAGATTATAAAATCGGGTGAGTCACATGACTCGCCTTCTTTAGAACTGCCACGAGGTACAATTATGATGGGCAGGCTCCATTATGGTTGTAACTTAAGCACTACCTGGACACCTTAAATAAATATGATTCGCACAGGTAGTCTCCTTCTCCACAATTCACCCTGACTTCTGGCTGTACAAGTGGTCTGTCGCAAACCAGAGTTGGTCAGGAACCTTTGGGGAAAATGCACAATGCAGACACACACAACTTATTTCTTCTCTTCAGAAACAAAGAGAAGACAAAGCGAAGACTTGGCGCTCGATCGAGGGATTTCCCATTTCATTTCTGGCTGATAACCTCATAGAAGAGCCTGATTTTCCTTTAGCAATCAGCACAAGACAATAAGGTTAAATGGAAAACACAGCACGGACTTTCTGGCCGAGGGCCACAGCTCTCCCTGTGCTTCAATTTTTCCTTCATTCCAACAAAAAGGAGAGGTGCATAGCAGCACTTTGATATTCTTGCTGAAATGAGTAACTGGAGCAATCCTGCAGCTCAGAAATCAGGATAAAATGAAGCACACAGGCTGCCTGAAACTAAGGTTTCCTCAGAGTACTGCATTTCATGCATGACTGGGGAATTCTAGAAGCTGAAGTCCACCGTCTTCAAGTGACCAGGTTTGGGAAACACTGCCCTAAACTCATCCAAGTAGCATGGTGGTACAAGGGACTCAAGTTTTCCAGATTAGAACATAGAATCATTGGGGCGGGGGGATCTCTTGTTTATCGCTTTGCAGCTTTCCTGATTTGCCACAATCCAGTTCAAATTCTCCCTCAAGTCTTGCCCAAATGGTTCAGAAGCTGAGATGCAAAGATTGCCTTTAAAAGGCAACTGTGGTGTGTGTGTGTGTGTGTGTGTGTGTGTGTGTGTGTGTGTGTGTGTGTGTGTGTGTGTGTGTGTAGAAGGCATCACTGGAGGAATCCAGCTGCCAAGACCGTAGTACTCTTGGCACAGATCCAAAAGGTTTAATCATCTGCATTTCACAGCACAAAAGATTCGAAAAATTTTCCACGACGCAGATAAAAACAAGCCAACTCTTTCATCCATGCCCAGCACCAAAAACAGAGCTAATACCAGCTTTGGGACCATCCTGCCTGCTTCATTTTCATGACCAAGTTTGATCTAGTTCTAGACAGAGAAATTTTCATTTGTGTGGGTTTTTCCCCCTTATTGGCTTCTTATATTATTGTATAGTCAAAAATTAGTTGTTTTCTAGCCTAGCAAATTGTAACCTTAATTCTGGATGGCATTACTGCAAATGTTATCTCACTGCTGCATCTCCCTTCTATTCTTGGCTTCAAAGCTAGGCACATTCTTGAAAGCATAGAAGAAATTCTTACACAGGAATATCAGGCCCCATAGATAAAGGAACCAAACTAGGGAGTTTACCTGACTTATAAATCCTTAAAGCATTCTTCCGAAAAACAATTTGGCAAAGGGGGGCTTTCACTCCCTACCCAAGACTATAGGAGTCCTCCATAGATAAGGTAGACAGAGACAGGAGCGTGAACAAAAGAATGCATTAAAGATCACGTTGGTACGAACCTTTGTCACTTTGTTTCTATCTGCCTTAAATGTATATAATACTCTGAGTCCCTCTTGCAGGGTGTGGCTATTCCTTACATGCTTTTGTTTGTATGTTTTGGATATAGTTTGTCACCCAGCTTTTGCTATGGCCATAAATAAAAGCTGATATTTTTTGCAAGCCTCGTCTTGAGTCTCCACTCTCTTTGGCATTTCAGTGGCTCTGGGAAACTGCTGGGACATTACAATGACTTGATCCACTTCAATCTTCAGTTGACGTTTTTCCTAAGTGGAAGGATCCCAAACTTCCTAACCTTTTCTTAACTGAAAATATTCCAGTTGCTCTTTTCCAGCCTATTATTGACACTTTAGTCCTTTTTCAACCAGAATGGTACAGAATATCCTAATGCAGACATCCAGCAGATTTGTAAAACATAGGGGTGTCCTCAGAGGACGAGTATAAAAGTAAAAATTGTGGTAGTGATGGTGTGGTTGAAAATCTGTCTGTTTTTTACAGCAATAACACTTAGATTTATATACTGCTTCATGGTGCTTTGCAGCTCTTTCTATGTGATTTACAGAGTTAGCCTATTGCCCCAAAAATCTGGGTCCTCATTTTACCGACTTCAGAAAGATGGAAAGCTGAGTTAACCTTCAGCTGGTCAGAATCAAATTCCTGGCAATCAGCAGAGTCCGCCAGCAATACTGCATTCTAACCACTGCACCCTCACGACTCTTTATAGGTGACACTGTGTATGAGACAGAGTATGTGTGTTTGTGTGTATGCATTCTTGTTAACACTATCACTTTGTAAATTTTCTACCTGCATTTGGAGTTTGTTACCTTTTGTTACCTTTTGTTTTCTCATTGAAAATGGGGTAGTATAAAGTTATAGATCACTTAGGAGTGACACCTGGAAATTTAACAAATACTAAATAATAAAGGGTTATAGTGTATTAAAAATACTGATAAGAGTGCAAACAGAGTTCTGGCTGGTTCTAAAAATCTGGATTGGGGTAGACAGAGAGCAGAATTTTACTGCTTCAGAACAGGAAAATAATGAATTTCTAACACATTTCCGGGGCCAATAAATAATGGATAGGATGATAAATTTGAGCAAAATTCTGGACGCCACCAGATGTAAATAAAGCTACAGCCCTCCAGAGAAGGCCCATAATTTCATATATGCAGGTAGTACTCAACTTACAATGGTAATAGAGCCTGACCATGTGACTGACATGATTTTGTGACTTTTTTGTCGTTTTCATTAAGCAAACACCATGGTTGTTAATGCTATGAGCCTAAAATTTTTACAGTAAACTTTATTCTCAGTTTTCACATGAATATATCATCATGCTTAAATCTTTTTTCAATTCCATCCCATTGTCACTATGAGGCATTTTCGCTGAAAACTGGAAATAAATGCTGGTTTTCAGTTAAAAAAAAAAGTCATAAATCAAGTCAAAAACTAACTGTAGCTTTGAGTTTTCCTGGCACTGTTATCTACTGCTTGGAACCGCAGTGCCAAAGCAAACACAACTTTGACATTTCTCATTAGAAAAAGTATTCACTCGCAAAGGGACACCTTGGATTTGGGTTTCTCGTTGATTTCCCTGATCTGACTCACCCAGTAATTTTGACAGAATGGGTTCCATGTTGTCGGTATTGTTCTGGCTTCCCAGCTGCTACAGGAGTATGCTGATAAATCCCACTTTGATACACAAAGAAGTCTTCATGCACTTCCATGATGGCTGCAGAGGAATGGAAAAGGAGGTAAATTATGGATTTAGGCTAGAAAAGGATCTGACACAAACATGCTATTCTTCATAACTCAAATGCCAATATTTCTGGGCTTACCCACACTACAAAAGTTAGGGAACTGGGCAGAAGTCTAGAGCTTATCGAATTCTCCAACCAGTTTCTATACTTCTTGCATCAAAGAGGACCAGGCATAGGGCCATGACATATGGAAGACTTTGTTGCTTGCATAGAAGGTGGAAGCAGGAAGGACCTTGTTATGGTCAAGCAATTTGGCCTGTTGGTGGCAGTTGTCTCTTGCTTTCCCCATCCAGCTAGTCAAGCTTAATGATACTTGACCAGACATAACATTTTACACCCTTTGCTCATGCAGTTGTAGAAAGCTGAAGAGCAGAGTTTAGTCCTCTCAAGATGAACCACAAACAAGCTTCTAAAGATCAGTCATAACTGCACTTTAGGGTGTCTTCTACTCCAATTTCCAAGATGTTTGGTTTTCCCCAGTTCAACTCATAAGAACCCAACCTTAGAAAGTTAAGGACGTCCACTTAATGAGGTGGGACAGAGGGCATGAGTAGGAGGGTCACAGGAATATTATGGACTGTTCTAACCAAAAAGCATTAAAATTGCATGCAAGGAACAGCTTCGGGCATCCAGCAGGTTTGAAAGTTTGTTTCCTCAGCTTGCTTCTGAGTTGGCATTAATGCCAGTGATATTTAACCCTGAGAGGTTTTGGAAGGAGGTCTGGACTGTTTCCTGATTCATGATTGGCCCAGATGACTAAGGCTGCAAATTACTGTCCAGAGAGAGTGTTGCTCATTTTCCTTTTCCTGGTGACCTCTTGGGCAAATCCACACAGCTTTTTAATAACATTATGGAAAAGTTTTCTTATTATTTTCTTCCTGGAGTTTTTGTTCTTTCGGCTTCCTTGGTATTTCCTTCATAGACAGCCCTGGTATTTTCCATTTCCCACTGAAACCAGTTAAATCAGTGCAGAAGGCACTGAATCATTTAATAGTCATAAAGGCTATGTTCACACAAGTTGCTAAACTGGATCAAGCTGACCAAGATGAAAGCTATTCACACTTGAATGAAACTGTTAGATTAACCTTGTCTGGTTAAATGTGGAGAGGGCAGCACCACCAGTTCCTGCCAGTTTTTGTAATAATTGTGCTGTGAAAACTATAGAGGGAACTTTGCTATGTTTCTGACCCTCCTCATGGCTTCCAGAAAAGTCATGATTGACTTTTCAGCCAAAATACTTTATTCCTTTGTATTGGAAAGAAAATTTACATTCCCGCAACCAGCTAGGTAAAGGTAAAGGTTCTCCTCATACATATATGCTAGTCATTCCCGACTCTAGGAGGCGGTGCTCATCTCCATTTCAAAGCCAAAGAGCCAGCGCTGCCAAAGACGTCTCCGTGGTCATGTGGCCGGCATGACTAAATGCAGAAGGCACACAGAACGCTGTTACCTTCCCACCAAAGGTGGTTCCTATTTTTCTACTTGCATTTTTTACATGCTTTCAAACTCCTAGGTGGGCAGAAGCTGGGACAAGTAACAGGAGCTCACTCCGTTATGCGGTGCTAGGGATTCAAACTGCCAAACTGCCAAACTG